TTCAACTCCTACAACACTAAAGGTGAGTCTCTAAGCGTGTTGTGATAGTACGACAACGCAACTGGTCAGGCATCTTGTCCGAAGATATCAAAAAGCATGCAAAGCAAGCTCAAAGGAAAGGACAATGGGTAAGTGTTCCTGCATTGGTCTCTTGTTCGTAACTAAACCTATTTGGGAATTTCGTTCTTAGTGCGACCGCTGCAAGTTGAACCGGTTGGTTTTGACTTGTGTCCCGTCGCGCAAGCAGCCCAATAAGTGCGAGAAGTGCACGCACGACATACAAGGCTGCTACTTTGATGGGGCCTCGATGCGAGGCCGGTCGAAGTCGTCTCAAACTGCGTGCGACAAAGGCAAAAGTAAGTTCATTCATTCTTTCCCTTACCAACGGACACTGATCGTGCTGTTCGCAGAGCGCGCCATGAAGTCGCCGCTGACTTCGCCCCGCGTTGCAAAGCGCGCGAAGTCTTTGGTAGACCCGTCGATATCGGATCCTGCAGTGCGCACCGTGTCAAATCATTCGGCACTCAAAGCGGTGCGCCTCGAGTGAGAGGTAGTTGCCATGCGGATCTCGCTCCTTTGGGACGTTGACGCAGCTTTAGCTGACCAGGAGCAGTTATATCTAAGTATATTAAGTGTTAAGAAGGGGCCGCCAGTTGCGTCGTCATCAAAGGGACCTCGATCGGCGTTGAAGGTGCCCAAGTAGCGTTCAGGCGGCTGTCTTTAAATTAGGTTGCTTATCGTTGTATAGTAGTACTTTGAATATATTGTATCGCACGTTCGTTTGGGCTTTGTGTTTTGGAATGAGCGGGAATCACCTTCGAAACAAAAATCTAAGGTCCCAAATCGTGTCATCAGTGTACAAGTTGCGTTAGTAAGTCTAAATTTTGTATGGCTCGTCGTCACCATTCGAATCGGCAAGTTCTAGCTCTCACAATCGCTCGGTCGAGACATCGAGGATATCCTTGGGTATGTTAATCTCCCTTTGAGCTAGATAAGGCATGACTCAGAAAGCGGCCACGGGTCTGTCCAGTACTGCGCCGTCCAGTTTGCATAAGATGTACACGCCTCCCTGGTTTTGTGCAACTATGACCACGGGCCCGAGGTATCGCGGCCTCATTTTTCGATTGAGCACCTTCTTGATAGCTGTGTTTCGAATTAATACCAATGCTCCCTTCTTGAAATCGAAGTCTTGAATTGTAGCTGCGTGATTGGTCTTGAATCGCTGTGCTGCGGCTCGGCGTGCTTTGTACACCTTCGAGTGTAGCTTGGAGACTTGTTCAACGCATTTCTGTAGCGCAATTGCTCGTCGGGCTATAAGGTCTGTAGTCAAAAGCATTGAGGAGGGCGGCAGCTGTATATAGGTCGCTTGGAGGATGTCTAGAGGTATTATCGGGTGGGTCCTGGTGACTGCAAAGTACAGCAAACAGCCCATTCTGCACCTCATCGTTATGCATTCCAACCAGAAGACTGAGTGAGCAACCTGCGACCATTTGCTCTGCTCACCATCGGCTGCTTTGTATAAGGCCTGCCTGACATCGAAGTGGGGTCGTTCGACGAGTCCATTTACACGCGAATTGTAACTGCTAATTTGAATATGGTTAATATTGTACTTCGTCGAGAGGTGGTGCGCGGCTTTTATAAATGGGGCACCGTTGTCGGTTACAATTTCGGTGAGGGCACCCCATCGACATAGGAAGTCTTCGAATATCCATTCCGCGATGGCCTTCGATGTTTCGTTCCAAAGCATTCTAAACTCGGGATATTGTGTCAGTGAACATTGACCTTGTACGAGATACTTATATCCACCTGAAGCTGGCATGTGTATTGTGTTGATGTGTACCTTCGCGAAGATCGGAGCCGGTGTTGCCACAACTGGGGGTATTAGGATCTGTTGGACCTGTCTTTGCTGGCAGAGGTGACAACTTTGTACAAACCATGCGATATCGGCATTGTGGTTTGGCCACCAAAATCGCTCGGAGACCAGTGATCAGGTTGCGAAGATGCCTTGATGGCCCACCTTGTCATGGCATTCGCGGAGGATTCAAAGGCGGTCAGCTTTTCCTATCACAAGTTTGTGTGCTCTGTGGGTATCTTTGCGCCATAGCGTCTCGCCGTCGAGGAAGAAGTGTAGGCAGAACTTGATAAATCCTTTGTACGCGCTATCGCTGAGGTCGGGTGGTCGTACAAGAGTTCGGAGGAATTGTCGAATAGCTTCGAGCTTCTCGTTGGCACTGTGTAGTGCTCTTGATCTCGGAACAATGCTGCAGTCATCCTCCTCCCCATTGAAATTTTGACCGCCCTCGGTCAGCTCGTATGTGGAGACAGTTCTGAGCCACGCAGACGGAGGGGTCTGTACCTGGTGAATAAACGAGTGTAAGTTATCAATCCAATCGTTGAAGTCATCATCGTCGTCGTCAATGTCGCCCGGTTGCCGCGGTCTCCTCAAGAGACTGTCGGGTCCATGCATTGTCCCAGGAATGTGGACAAGTGTGAAATGAAATGTTAAAATGGAAACAATCCACCAATTAACACTCGCACTGGGCGCAATATCAGGATTTGCGAGCATACCCTTGATATACCGAGTGTCGACCTCAATCACCAAGTTCCGAATACCAATCAAATACAAACAAAGTGTTCGGAGCGCTCAAAAAAGGCCGTAAATCTTGAGCTTTGGTTGCGAGAATCGCCGTTCCTGATTGTTAAGCGTAATCAAACCGAATCGGCTATAATATCGAAGTC